GACACGGAGGATGATGCTCCCCTCCCTCCGCAGGGCTCAGAGTGGAATGCGGCAAACCTGGAGGAGCTACAGAGAAACAGGTAGGGCTCTGAGCCCCTCAGGACTGCCCACCCTCTGTCTCCCCGCTTCACTTGGCCTCCCCCGCAAGGGGCAACCTGGCCAGAAGCCCCCAGGCCCCCCTGAAGGGCTGCTAGCTCCGCTTCCCATCCCGCCTCTGGGGCTGCTCCCCCTGCAAGGCCTCCCCGGGCCCACTCGCCCTCCCCACGCTGTAAAGCAAGGCCTGGACCCAGGGCCTCAGTCTCACGGAGAAGAGGGGTGGCCGCGGGCGTCCCGGTGGCCTGTCCCAAGCAGGAAAGCTCCTCTCCACTGACCGCGTCGCAAGGGAGAAGCGCGTGACCCTCTCCCGGGGGACCTGGCCACCTGCTCTCCTAGGTTCCTGCCAGTTGTCCACCGTGGGCTTCCAGGAAACCCGCTGTGGCCCCTGTCACCCCAGCTCCGCCGCAGATCCACGTGGTCTCAGCTTCGCTCAAAGCTGTTCTCTGACTTATACTAGAAGGCTTAGCACTGCAGTTAGCCGAGCCGCTGGCTGGACCAGAAGGGACAACTCCAGCGCGGCAGGGCGACAGGATTCGCTCAGGGTCACGGCCATCTCCCTCCCCCTCCGCCCCGCCTGACTCTCCGAACCAGCCAGGCTCCGCCGGGTCTGCCGGCCGATGGGCCTCACGTCCCCCCACCGGCCACGTCAGCCAGGCCTCCCGCCCTCTGCTGCAGGGTCAGCCACATCTTGAACATGGCCCGCGAGATTGACAACTTCTACCCGGAGCGCTTCATCTACCACAACGTGCGCCTCTGGGACGAGGAGTCAGCCCAGCTGCTACCCCACTGGAAGGAGACACACCGCTTCGTGGAGGCCGCAAGGTTGGGGCGCCCCCGGCCCCCCCACCCCCCGGCTCACCCCACCCCAGCTTCATCCTGCCGGCTTTGCCCTCAGCTCTAGGACTCCTCCTGGCCTTGCCCCGCTCCTCTGCTCTGGGTGGAGCACTACCCGCCCTTCCCCCACACTGACGGGGGCAGGGAGCTGACCGTGCGGCCTCCACAGAGCCCAGGGCACCCGGGCGCTGGTGCACTGCAAGATGGGCGTCAGCCGCTCAGCTGCCACGGTGGTCGCTTACGCCATGAAGCAGTACGGCTGGGGCCTGGAGCAGGCCCTGCGCCACGTTCAGGAGCTCCGGCCCGTCGCCCGCCCCAACCCTGGCTTTCTGCGCCAGCTGCAGACCTACCAGGGCATCCTGACCGCCAGGTTCGAGGGGGAGACGAGGGGAAGCGAGTAGGTGGGTGCCGAGGCTGGGGTGGCTGCTGGGTCCCTCAAAGCTGACCCAGGGCTACCTCCTTACAGCCGGCAGAGCCATCTCTGGGAGCAGAAAGCGGGTGGGGCCTCCCCAGAGGAGCCCCTCGCCCCCGATGTCTCTACACCTTCCCCACCGCTTCCGCCAGAGCCAGGGGGCAGGGCGGAGATGGAGGCTATGGGTTTGGAGGAGAGCCAGGCAGCCCCAACAGAAGAGCCTGGACCACGGCCCCGCATCAACCTCCGAGGGGTCATGAGGTCCATCAGCCTCCTGGAGCCTTCCTCGGAGCTGGAAGGCGCCTCAGGGGCCAGTGACCTGCCAGAGGTGAGGCTGGGGCCAGGGAAGGAGCCCAGGCTGAGGCACAGTGGGGGACAAAAGTAGGAGCGGCAGATGGGAGGAAGGAGAGAGATCAGGACGGGTGCTCGGCTTCCCATGGGGACCACTTCCTGGGCGGCTCCGTTTCGTCCCCTCAAAGCGGCCAAGGAGACCCAGTGGGGGCCAGTGAGCGCTGTCCTTCATGGGAGCTGGAGAGCAGTCATGGGGCCAGGGGCATCCGCGGGGGCTTCTGGGCCGAGCCAGCCCTGGGCTGGAGGCTGCGGGCATGCTCAGCCTGATGAAAGCACTTGCTTCCTAAGGGGCGGGGCTGCCCAGCCATCCTCCGCAGGCCAGGAGCTGGACGACCAACTGCTGACCCTAGATGAGGTGGACGAGATGACCTCTGCAGCCCCTCCCAAGTCTGGGGGGCAAGTGACCCACCAGAGGATGGGGTGCAGAGGGGTCATGGCACCCACACAACCAAGTACTGGCCTGAGCAGTTGAGCATCATCTCCGTGCTAAGTGCTGCAGGGCATGAGCAGAACAGAGGCTGGCCTTTGCCTTAGGAAGCCAGACGCCACCCCGCTCTAAACACACACACACACACACACACACACACACAGACACACACACACACACACGAGACTTGAGGCCAGAGCTCCTCTGGGAGGGCCGGAACGCCTGGGAGAGGCTTCCTGGAGGAGGCGGCACTGGGGATGGATGGTTGGTGGGTGAGTGTGGATGTTTCTAAAGGCAGAGTGTCTTCATTTGGCTCCCGGCTCAGAGCCCAGCTCCTGGAAGGCTCTCAGGACTGACTGTACAAAGGCAGAGGGGGCAAGAGGAGGAGGAGGGGGCCTCAAGGATGTGGCAGGTGCGGGGAAGCTCAGGAGGGCTTGTGGGGCTAGGAGGTTGTAGACAAGTGAATGCCGAGGAGCAGGGACAGTGGGGCCGGGGTGTTGTCTTCTCTCCTGTGGAAATGTGACCCTCGAGTAGCCCAGTTTCTCTGCATTCACTTACCAGTCCACACCTGCCCCTTTCCAGACTCTGTGCTCAGTGCCCCTGCCCTGGAAAGACTTCTCAGTGATTCTTCTACTCTGACCCCGCCAGGTGTTTTCTTCAAATGAGTCTTCAGAGGAAGACCCTCCAGAGACCCTCCCTCAGCTCTCAAAGGCCAAGGGAGGCCGGCGGGGCCACAAGGGGCCTTGGCCTGCCCTGAAGTCCCGCCAGTCTGTGGTCGCCCTCAACAGCGCTGCCCTGGTGGCCAGCCGGACCCAGGCCTTCCAGGAGCAGGGCGGGGCTGGCTGCGCCTCCACACCCAGGCTCCGGGGGAAGGTGGTGAGGCAGGCCAGTGTGGATGGCAGTGAGGAGGAGGGCGAGGCCTGAGCCCCCACACATGCCCCTGGCCCCCAGATACAAATAGAGGGACCGGCACACAGCTCCTGGGACGAGCACCCTTCACTCCTGCCAACCTGTCCACATTCCTTTTAGCTCCTCCCCAGGTGGCCCCAACATCACTACAGCCTCGGCTGCTGCAGCCTTAAGTCTCGGACATGTCCTCCTTTCCAAGGGCTCAAGACCTTCTCTGTCTATAATGGGGATGTGACCGAGAGACTGAAGATACCTTTGGGGGCAAGAACACCTTGCTTCATTCTCAGTTGCTGCCGGGAACATTCACTTGCAGCCACAGAATAAAAGTTTCCCAGTGCAGAAAGGCTTCTGCTCCCTCCCTCACCCACTCCCATCTGCCTCACCCCTGCCCCCTTCATTCCTGGGGTCTGCTCGGCCAGAGACCCAGTGGCCCTTAAAGGCCGAGAGTAACCTCAGTCCCCAGACCTGGAGGCTCTGAGGAGCGGAGAGCTGGCCCACAGGTGGGGCTGGCGGGTCGGCCTCCCTCCCACACTCCACAACCTGCCCATCTTTTGCTGCTGCCCCCACCCCCCACCACTCCCCACAGCACTGCGCTGGGTCACAGGACACCAGGCCAAAGAGAGTCTCCTTTTTGTCCTTTACAGCCTCTGGCCAGTTTTTCACAGTCTTAATAATATCTGGCTTTGTACTTAGAAATAAAAAACATTTTCATATTATTTTCACTTTTATGATAAAGCCGTCTGCCTGTGAGTCTGATCCTTCTCTGGTTACACGAGGAGTCTGGTCTCTCCTAGCCTGTCTGGTCTCCTCACAGCTCCCAGGTGTCTTGTGACAGGCCTGTTTGGGGGAGTGGTGGGTTTGGGGTGGAGTGGAAGAATGGGGAAGAGAAGAGGGGAGACCAGTGCTATCTCCCTCATCTCCTAGGGCAGGGCCTGGGTAAATGTTAGCTGCCCACGTGCCCCTCAGGCAGGTTGGCAGGGGGCGGGCAAGCCTACACTGGGCAGCAGGTGCTTGGCTCTGTTGGGACAGCTGAAGGGAGTTACCCATGAGGAAGTGGGAGCTGCCAACGCCTATCTGACAGGACCAAGCCTGTTCCAGAAGCTAAGGCTCATTTTGGACACTTGATGACAGTTCTCGAGCACATTTTGGGTCCCAAGAATCTTCCTCCTGCCACAATGCAACAGAGCCTGATTTTCCAAGCCAGCCCATCACCGCCAAGGAAGCAGGCCCCTCAATGGGCCCTCCCCCTCTAGGTACAGGTTCCTTTTGGTCAGGTTTAGTGTTCAAGAAGAGTAAGTGGGCCCATCTTTGTCACTTCTGTCCCCTCCTTCCTTCAAAGCCAACTCAGAGGTAGGAGTTGGTACCAAATATTCTCATTGATGGAGAACTCGTACCCCATTTTAAGGGCATTTTTCATCCAGACCCTGGTGGGACCCCAGCACTGCTCTAGCCCTGGGGTACCAAGGGGGCAGGGAGCCTGGGTTCTAGCCCTGGCTTTACCACTTAGAAATTACTCCACCTCCAGTCTCTGTTTCTTTCTGTAAAACAAAAGGATTAGACCAGGAAATCTCTAAGTGCCCCCCTTCCTGCTTTGTTATTTCAACAATATATGTCCTCCATACACTGATAGAATTCACCCTCAAGAAGAGGTGTTCTCTGGAAGAGGAAGCATTTATATCTATCTGTGGGTGACATGCCTAGGGTCACAGGCAGGGTCCAGAGAAGCCAGTCTGATTCTTGGTCCACTTGGCTGGTCCACCCTTCTGAGCAAACAGGGGGGCTGCCTGCCATCCTACAGCCAGCCCTGAGTCCCACCCAGACTGCCCTTTCAGTGGTCCTAAGCCATGCTAGGGGCAGGTAGGGTGATAGGAGGGAAGCCAAAGCCAGGCCCTGCCCTCCTGCAGCCTCTGCAGCTGGGAAGGGGGTTCCTATCATGAACTCTGAGCTCTGGGGCTAACCAGAATCTGTGGAGGACTCTTGAGAAGTAAGAATTCAGCACCTGGGAAAACAAAAACTGGAGGGGAAACTGCATCAAAAATGCAGACAGGGGCACCTGGCCGGCTCAGTCAGTAGAGTATCTGACTCTCGATCTCAGGGTGGTAAGTTCAAGCCCCACATTGGGTGTAGAGATTACTTGGAAAAAATGCAGACTAATGATTAAGAAACACACACACAGCTCACGCAAATTGCTAAAGGGGGGGAAAAAAAAGTATGTGTCCCTTTGATCTTATTTTCCAATCCTTCATAGGCAACCACTGTTACTGCTTCTTTCGAGTCCCTCCAAAGACATTCCATGCTTCTGTCATCAAATATATTTATTCTTTTAAAAACATAAATTATACTCTATTAACATTCTGCACTTTGAAAAATTTTTTCATAGCACAAAGAGTTGCTTATCAATTCAGGAAGCTCTGCCTAATTTCTACAATAATCATACATATTCTTTTTCTTTAAGATTTTATTTATTTGAGCGGGGGGAGAGCACAGAGAGTGAGAGGGAAAAGCAGACTCCCTGCTGAGCAGAGAGCTTGACGTGGGGCTCTAGCCCAGGACCCTGAGATCGTGACCTGAGCTGAAGGCAGACACTTAACCTGCTGAGCACCCAGGCGCCCCAATACATGTTCTATTCTATGGACTCCACTATTTTATTTAAGCAGTCATCTACTGATGAACATTTAGGTTGTTTATGAAATTTTTTTTCATTCCAAGTAATGCTTAAGTACTCATATATACTTTCTTGTGCACACATGGCCACGAAACCTGTAGAACGGCTGAAGCAAAGCCTATTTGCATTTAATTTTGAAAGGCATTGCTTCATTTCCTTCCAAGAAGTTGCACCAACGTACAGCAAATGGGAACGCCTGTTTATGTCCGGCACGCAATGTCATTTCCATCGAACCGTGTAACACTCCCAGGAGAAAGAGCAGGCATTATCATTACCTTTTTGGAAACAGGAAACTGAGGCTCAGAGAAGTCACTGAGTCTCTGATGAGGCCTCAAATAGGTCCTAAGCTTCTAGATCTCAGCCCGGAGGCCTAACTCGACGGACAGGGCGGCTCCCAGGTTGGCTCGCCCGGATTCACCAGTTCTGCCCCAGGCCGGCCGGAGGGAGGGGCGGGACGACCCCTGCTCCCGGAATCCCAAGTCGGCTCCCAGCCGGGGCAGGAGTCTCTCAGGCGCCGGGCCGCTCGCCCAGCCCGGACGTGAACCCTCGTGCCACGAGGAGCTCGCGTCCCTCGGACAGCAGGTGCCTCCTAGGTCAGCTCCCACCTTCACCGAGTCCTCCCTCCGCCGGGCCCGGGTCGGCCGGGCTTGGACCCGCCCCGAGCCAGGGCGGCCCCTCCTCAGGACTAGATTTCAAACGGCTAAACTGTACGCGCCGAAGAGAGCGTGCCCCCGCCGCTTCACCCTGCACCCCAGACGCCTCAGAGCCGCGGCTGCCAAGAGAAACTACCTTTCAGGCCTCCGCGGCCTCTCCTACGCCGGCAGCGCCCGGGCGGGGATTTGGGGGTGGCGGGGGGAAAAGGATCCAGAAGCTCGGAACCCACCACAACGCTCGGGCGCCATCTTGCGTCTGTTCTTTTGGCCGCCGGGTAGCAGCCCGGAAACTACATTTCCCACCGTGCTTAGCGCGTCCGCGCAGGCGCGAAGAGCCTCTCTCGTTTCCATGGGAACCACGCCCCCGAGGGTCCCAGCTGCTTGACTCTGCGGACCGCGTGGCCGTTGCTCCCCTTCAGGTGCCCTCGAGCTAGGACGGGGTCTGCAGACAGTTGAGGGGCAGAGTAGGGGGCTTGAGGGGAGGAAGCCAGGCGGCTCTGCCTCCCGGGACCACCGCTCCCAAATTCTCGGCCTCCGGCCGTCCGCGCGCTCCCGGAGCCTCGGCGTTCTGAGGCGAGGTGGCCCGGGGAGGCCCGGGTTGGCGAGGCCAGTGTCCGCCTCTGGCCCGCGCAGCCCCGCTCGCTTCGCGCCAGCGCCCGGTCCCCGGCCGAGAGTCTGCGCGCCGCCGACAGGTACTCCCCGGGCGCGGGCCGGAATGGTTGGCGCCGCAGGTGGGCGTGGACGGGAGCGCTAGCCGGGCGGGGCAGCGAGCGCTTCTGGGGCTGGATCGGGCTCTGCCTGTCACGGATCCGGGACCCGGGGCTCACAGCTCGGGGCTTCCATCCCCCCTCTGTCAGTGCGGCTCGGGCTGGAATTCTAGGGCACCTTGTGATAGCGTTGCAGAGCGGCCTCTGGCTCTGTGCTACCTGGGGAACAAGTCCCTTTATCCCTCTGAGCCCATTTCCTCCTCTGTAAAGAGGCTGGAGCAGATGATCTTTATGGTCTCTTCTAGAAGATACGGGATCATTACCCCCTCGTTGCAGACCGCGTGCAAGAAGAAAGGGAACTGGATGGTTTGAGCTACAGTCTCAGCTCAGAATCTGGAGTCAGAGAAACTTGGGTTTGTGACTTTGGGCAAAGTTATTACATCTCTTGAGCCTCAGTTTTTTCAGTTGCAAAACTGGGGGTAATGATAGTTCTGCCTCAGGTGTTTGAAGATTAAATGAGATAATTCGTGTAAGTTTTTAACCCCAGGCCTGCATCTAGTGAGTGTTGTCCCGAGTCCCAGCCAGCATTTCCGATACTCTAAAAAACATTCCTTAGCTACTTGAGACCTTTTCCTAAATTTTGGAGTCACTTCCTCTATTGATGGGCAAATCCATTCTCTTATGCAGGATGGTTTTATAGGCTGATTCCGCTGGGGAAGCCCGAGTCTTCTTAGCCACGCCTGGATGCTCAAGCTGTGTATCTCCTCCCTTCAGCTGTAGTTTGGGTTATATCATTACCACACAGCATCTAGGGAGGGTGCAAAGCCCAACACCATGCAGTGCAGAAGATCCTTTCCCTTTCTTAAGATTCATAGAGGATGTGATCACTTACATGCTATGGTGAAGAAACAGCTGAATATTGAATTCTATTTATATAACATTTACATAGGACTGGATACACACACAGTTATAAGGAATACATAAGAATCCTATGCTACTTGCATTGAGTTCAAACTTTGTATTAATTGGGAAAACCCTTACAAGGAATTTTAAATTAGTGAGAAAATGTATTATTTATTAAGTCTGGGAATTCCCAGTGGCTTCACAAACAAGCCTTCACTCATCCAACAGGCATCTTTATGTGTAAGCTGTATTCTGTGAGTTGTTTTTGACCACCTGTATGTACCTGGTACTGTGTGGGGTAGTCTGAAGGATACAAAGATGTATAAAATGATCTTCGCCCTCAAGAAAAGTCTGTAGGCGTGCCTGGGTGGCTTAGTGGTTAAGTGTCTGACTCTTGATCTCAGGGTGGTGCGTTTGAGTCCCTCGTTGGGCTCCACGCTGGGCATGGAGCCTACTTAAAAAAAAAAAAGTCTATAGAGAAGATCAGTTATGCATACAAAACACATAATGCAGGAGGGAAGTGATGTGTCATGAGATACATCACGGTGTCTGCTGTGCTCATTGAGAGGCAGGAGACCCCACCGGTAAGTGGCTGTGTCATGAGAGCAGTAAGGAGCAGACAGCATTTCAGCCGGGCCCTGGAGGATGTGGACAATGTGGATGTGCCAAGAAGTAGGGCAAAGTTATTGTGAGCACCCTCCTGGCAGCCTTGAGACATGGGGGGGAAATGTCTGGGGCCCTAACTGGTTATGAGCTCTTAGAAGGCAGGGACTGGGTTTTGGTCAGTG